GAGTGTGCTTGGTTGTCTGTCTCTAAGTGTAGCCCTGTGATAGACTGGTGACCTGTCCAGGGTGTCCCCTGCCTTCGCCCTAAGTCAGCTGGGATAGGCTCCAGGCCCCCCACGACCCTAATGAGGATTAAACGGTGTATAGATAATGGATGGATGGATGGATGGATGGCTGGATGTCAAATAGGACATAAAGTATGATGTAATCAGCTGCATTTTTTGTCGTGTTCATTGTATTCTTCAGGTAAAATACCTTTCTTGGTACCAGGCATTAAAATGAACAAACAATTAAAGAAAACAAGGGTGCTCTAATCATTTTTTCCACAACTGTATATATATTCATTAATTTGCTAATTTTATAGTGTTCCTTTGATTCTGTCACCTCTTCTGGATCTGAGCTGTCAAATTTACACCCAACATAAATGCACATACTACGTTCCTTTCCAAAAATTCAAGACCCAAAACTTGTGGAAAACTGAAAATATATACTTTATTGAACTTTTTTTTTCACAAAATGAAAGTTGTATATTAGGGCTGTCACGATGCCATGATTATCACAACATGATAATCCCAAACCAAAAGAAGTCCCGATTACGACAACATCACAACATCTATCAGTAATCTCAACAAGACTAATGTCATCAATCAAATGAACTTGTTGACCTTTTTTATTTTCTGTCTCATTTTTTGCAAATGATTTGTACTCTAAATAAGAGTGTAAGGAGGTGAGACAGTCTGCAACCGCAACTGTATGGCATATTGTTCCAAGGTTGGAGTGTCAGCCAGATAGTCGGTCAAGCTGTATCATTACCATTATATTATCATTTACTTTTTTAAACACAGTGATCTTTTATACCGACATATCGTGACATCCCTATTATATATATAAGCATTTATATATATATTCTCAAAGAAGCATCAATGACAGTTGTTGCTGAATTAGAAACAGAAAGGATGCAAGAACAAATCTCTGCCCAAATGTCTTTTTCCAAAGAACATCCTGTATATGACTGTATTTCACACACTCACATAAAGAAAAACACTCCAACTAAGGTCACGTTGAAGAATCAACACTGGCCAAGGGACTGAAACCACAGGCACAAGACATCATTGAAGACAGTTTTCAGTCAGAAGGCGAGCCTACAAGAACATATTTGACTACATAAACAAATTGGTTAGTCAGTCTATGTAAAAAACTTGAAACAAAGGTGACATTAAGCCTCTGTCCATTAGCTGGCATGTGGTGTCTCGAACATCAAAAGGTAAAATATGTCACAGCATGAACGTAAAAACATTGAGATGGAATATGGTTGCTACTGTGTTCTTTGACCACAACCAGGCCTAAATAAAGGAAGATGAAAAGTTGCAACGTGGTGGCTTAATGGATCAACGTCAGGCTTGTCACACGACTTGTGAATGTACTTCAGCTGGGTCACAAGTAAAAGGTCACTTTTGTTAAACTATTTTCAAGTAATTGCAGCAGAAAGCAGAAGTGATGGGTTTTTAGGAAGTGACACAAGGCAGGAAAAAAGTATAATTTAACAATGCTGAAGGTAAGAAAATGAGCTGTAAAGTTTCACAACATTCAGTTTGTGTTGCAACAAAAGGAAGCAAAAGCTTAAAGGCTACATTGTTTAATGGCTGCATTTAGAAAACAGCACAAAAAAGAAGCTAAAATAACAGCAAAGGTATGAGGATGGCTTTGTGAAACAGATCACTCAAGAATAAATAGAAAAGAAGTGTTCTGAGTGACATGTACACCTTTGCTTGATAAAAAGTAACTTGGCTAAAAAGGCACACTTGTTTCTTGCATTTATTAAGTATTTGACTTTTTCTATTTGCTGTCCTGACTGAATGTTTGGCTAACTGAAAAGAAAATTATCTCCTTTGGTTAATTACTCTAAAGCTGCGGATGTGTTTCAGCTCAGTTGGTACAGATGTAAAATGGGCAAATAAACCACCCAAGCAAAGAGGGGAAAAAAAACTTAATGCAAAGTATTACATGTACATGAACACAAAAAAAAACGTAAGTAAACCTTCCCTGTGCGCAAAACATATTGTGTTGAATTGTCATGATTTTTCCCTTTTGCTGGTTAAATGAAGACCCTGGGTGCTTTTCATTATGCTAATGTGTCTCCTCGCTTCTCCTCCTTCAGTCTTAGCTCCTCCAAAAACCTCCTCTCTCCTTGAGGTGCTTTTAAGACACTGGAAAATATTCTATAATAGCAGAGGGGGAACAATTTCAACGTCACGGGAGGAGAGAAGTCATGAGTAACCATACGTTAGCATAGTGAAAAGTAATTCTGACTTCCTGAGCATTCAACTGACAATGAAAAAAAAACTTTCCAGCATACATCCTCCACATGGTGCACACTTTGGACTTGATTTGTTCCCAAGTAACATTTAAAGGACTTACAAAGCGGTACATGCTTTTTTGCAGCACCAGAGAGAAAGAGCATAAGCACATGGAAGAAAAAGGTTCAAAGCACTTTACCAGTCTGCCATAAACTGTCATATAGCAACACGATGATGGCCACAGACATCAGAACACCCTCTCCAAAGTTTGACCACTGAATTTGACTGCAGTCGCTGTAGGCCGATTAAGAGGTCAGGTAGGTTTGGCCAGTGGAGAGCAAAGGCAGGAGGGAGATGTTGAGGCACAAGGCTGTGAAATGACAGCGGACTTTATCTGCTCTTCAAAATCAAACTCAGTGGTTTTATGTTTAATTTGCCAAGATGGCTAAGATGGAGCCACTAAGTAACTGTTTAAAAAAAAAAAAGACAGCCTTACTACATTTGTGTGTACTGGAAGTCCATGCAATACAAGCCGAAAGGTATCAACATTTTCACTTGGCAACTGCTCAACAGAACAGACGCACCATCACTGTACCAACAATCCCATATTAACCACCAAAACAAACAAATGGAGATGCTCTGGATTTTCTCATCTTCATTTAGATTTCCAGGTCTGCCAAGTTCGAAAGATGTCACGGCACGTTTGTGGCTGAGAGCACAGTGCTGAGGTCCACTATCCGGTATTGGGTGGTTGTGCGACATATTCCGGGTTGTACGCGGGCTGGGCTAGGTAGTCTGGTTGTGCGGGTGGAGCGTTGGGCTGTGGCTGGACAGGAGGCTGTAGAGGGTACGCTGGCTGGCCGGGACTGTACGCCGCATGGCTGTAAGGCATCGGGTGAGGAGGGTAGGCAGGACCGGCTAGAAAAAGAAAAGAAAACATGGCTTGAGAATTAAAGGGCTGAAAATGTTTCAACACTAACCAGAAACTGCAGTTCTGTAACACAAACAGAAATGTTTCCTTTCCTGTTTTACAAAATCCAAACATGAGCCAACATTTATACCAGCAGTGGTTATTCCACGTACACTTCCGATTACAGCTATTCTGAGGCAGTGAAGTTGCATAATGTTGCTAAATTTTCTAAAGCTTCAACGTAGTATGTAATTACTTTCTAAAAGCTGGTATGCAGTGTGTTTCTACAGAACTATATGTGATTGATACTTTTGCATAATAATAATATAATGGTAAAACCCTTGCTTCCTGTATATGTCTCTGAGAATGCAGCCCTCGTGACATTTGTATAAAGTACACTGGCAGCAATTATAAACATCAGACAGTCAAATAAAGAATAGGAGTTTATACATCTTTTTATTTTAGGCTTTTAGTCGACTCCCTGCAGCAAAGGCTATGAGAACAAATGCAAACTATACAGAAGGTTGTGAAGTATTTACACGAGCGGTTATCTTAGAAAGTCAGATGGAGTTGTACTGATTTTGATTTAATTTTGGTGAAAAAATTAATGTTCTACTCAACAAAACCAGACGTTTTAGTGCTGTGAAATTTGAGTCTAATTTTTGTCGTGCCATTTTTCTTTCTTCGGCAAACCAAAGAAGCAGTGTTAACTCATTTGAATGAAGACAGCATTCGTGCCACTCTGCTCTGCAGCAGCACAACAGACTGAATCCAGTTTGTCGTTCCCAATTTCTGCATGTTTGAACAGAGTTGTTCCCTCGTTGCTGTTGCTCTGTTGGCATTGCTGCAGTCCGACCTGATCATTCATAAGCAGTATTTATTAACTAAAATGCTGTTTGTCGTCTGGGTTCAACTCGAGGCAAGCAGATAAAACGCTGGGTAACGTCAACGCACTAATATGCATTTGGCAAACATCTAGATGAAGTTTTAAAAAGGCTAAAAGCTGTTAGCATAGTTGTCACTCATTAATCCTAGCAGCAGAGAAAATGGTGACTGAAAGCATGATGACCATTACATCCACATTCACAGGAGTTTTGTTGGTCTGTATGTTTGTGCAGCTGGCATGTTTTCAGTTGGGCAGTAGATTCATTTAATTGACTTTTTCCCTTCCAAGACCCAATTATATAAGCGAACACTGCATGCAGACACAAGATTCTGCCGAACAGCCTGAAATCAACTTATGAAGAGATATTTTGGGGCAGAGGAGGATATCTTTCACTGTCTTCAATGCGCAGTGTCACAAATGTATTTTCAAAGTCTACCTTTTAATTTTGTTTTATGTTAACTTTCAAAGAGGAAAAAGTCTGTCAACTCATATATTTTGTCGTAGTTTTTAGTTTTAAAATGAATATTAGTGGTGTTGAAATCCACACTCACTGGCTTCCTGATACGTTGGTGGTGGTCCTGGTGTGTACGGCTGTCCTTGGTAAGGCGATGTGGGCATGGGCTGAGCTCCGTAGCCAGGCTGCACCGGTACGGGCTGGTAGGGCGGATATTGGACCGCCTGGTAGGAGTGAGAGGGCCCGGGCACCGCAGCCTGCTGCTGGGGGTACGGGTGAGGAGTGCCAGTGACCACTGTGGTGTGGGTGGTGGTAGCTATCACAGCTGTAAGCAAACAAAACACAGAAACAGATAAGAAATACAGCTTATATAAGCTAGCTAGAGGTTCAATCACTGGCTGCATTTTAAATTGTACACTTTTTCTTTTTACTTTGTTTTTTTCAAGTACATATTACAGAAATGATGCAGTTTCATGTAGCATGCGTACATCTGGGACACACTACTTCATCACAATATTACACCTTAAGCTTTCACCATCTATTGTGCGAAATGAGCTGTCACCTGTTTGTCTGCTGTCAGCGGTTCAAGCTTTTATACTTGTGCACAACACGTGCGACACAACCACGCAAAGAATTGTGGGTCAGAATGGCCGAAAAAGCATGCTGGCTTATATACTATAAGATCCAACCAGACGTAGTAAGACATTTTAGCGTACATTTGACATACTATACATTGGGACATGCTCTTTTTCTGGCATACTATACAGAACAGTAGTATGGATATTGGAACACAACCAGTTTCAGATAAAGTGCAGCAGTACAGCTGAGGGAGGAACAGTTCAGTAATAAAAATAAAAAAAAGTTAAGTGCTAAACAAGTCTTGATGAACAAAAACTACTTTGTGGTCTAAGAATTTATTTTCAGAGCACAAAAACAATTACAGAAACTAAGAATTACAGTTAGGCAACTGTAAATATAAATCATTACAACATGAACACCAACACCAAAGGGGGAAGTCCTCTCTTGTTCCATAAATGTGTAACAAACAGCTGCCTCAGACCACAACTTCTGCATTTGACCTACTGAGCAAACCTGACAGATGAAGAGCTAAAAAAAAGTTTAGAAATGATCCTGGCATCCAAATGTTACTTGATTTAGTGTCACAAGAATTCTTGAACGATCTTTGTTATATTATTTTGACTGCATGAAGTTACAGACCTCACAAGTATACATTCCTACAGAGGACATTCTTCAAAATCAGGGTTTTTTTGTTTTGCTTTGTTTTGTTTTTTTAACTCGAATAAATTGTATTTATGTGACACCAAACCAAAACCAAACACAAGTCATCACAGGGCACTTTATTTAGTAAGGTCAAGGACTTTCAGTATTACTGAGACAACACTCAATAACTCCTGTCTGAGCAGCACAGCGACAGCTCGAAGGAAAAACTCCCTTCAAACAGGAAGAACCCTCCAACAGACGCAGACTCAGGGTGGGCGGACGTCTGCCTCGACATGTTGTCGTCAAAGACAGCAGAGAAAGAACAGATACGCATTGAGAAGCAACATTAAACACGTTTTTGTATCGCTGAAATGTAAAATTTAACTTCTGCACCAGTTTCTGCCAAAACCTAGACACAGAAGAAAGGAGGTGATAAAAATGCTACACATACATTTATTCATCGATTTATCTTGTCTTACAAATAAAAGTTACAAAAAGCATTTCACTTGTATTTAATTATAGTTGTTACTCTTCTAAAGAAAGTCAAAAGCTGAACATTAACCTAAGCTAAAGCAGTGAAAGATGGTGCTTATTTCACTGACGACACATCATCTATCATAAACTCTGTGGTGTCGATCAGGGAATTTACGATTTAGGTCAGAGTACTTTGAAAGCTAACTTTAACAAATCATTATCCCTTGTTAAATTGATATTACATGTATATAAACACAGAATGAAACCTCCACCCCTGCAGGGCCTCTTAATGAGTTCACCTAAAGCGTAAAGCCAATACTGTACCCTGAAGACAACACTGCTAAAAAAAAACCCAGAGGGACGACAGATGTGCGTATGCCAGTCACTCCCACCATGCCTTTTTTTCTTTCTTTTTTTTCACAGAGTGGGAGTCATCACGACCACTTCCTGTAAATGACGTGGGATGGCCTTGAGTTTTCCCCTCTGTGGTTGTCGTGGAAACAATGACTCATACGAGGTGGAGCTCTAACATTCCTGGATTTGATCCCATCATGCAACAGATTCAGTCAAGGAAGCTACACTGTGTTGCTTACTTCTGTTTCAGCCTCTCTGCCAGAACGTTGTCAACTCATGGCAAACCCTGAACAAGCCGGCTAAAAGAACAAACTGACAGAGAGAGTGTTGCATTCACCTACTTGACTGCATGTACATACAAAACACACAGATGCTTTAAGGAATTCATTCAGCAAAGTGAATCAAATGGTTGGCATGCGTATGTGTGATATCAAGTTTAATAAGTGTGAAGAGAGGAAAACAAAAGACAGCAGAAAGAATGAATTAAAGGCACGGAGGACATAAGGGGCGTAAACTAGAATTCAACACACCCTGTTGGAATGAAGTGCAGAGGGGCTCTCTGTCACAGATTGCACAACGCTCATACAATGTAAGGCGTAGAAACATCACGTGCCAATATTTTCTCTGTCTATGTACATATTTACTGTAAGCGGTTCGTACAAGCATCTGTCCTAACCTGAAAACTCATCCCAATAGATAAGTGTGTCTTCTTTTTTCCCCTCCGATATGCTTGTCTCGCTCAGCAAAACACAAACCACTTACACAATCAGGTAAATGCTAGAGAGGCCCGTTTGAGTTGGAAATCTGTGGCATTTATATATTCTCTCAAAAGGTAAACAAACAGAATATGATGTGAAATCATCATTTTATGATCTGAAAGGTTTCTTTTTACTTTAAATATGATGCCGATATTAGCTGAAATGATATGCATAGCTAAGAAAAACTTCATGATCACTGTGGCTTTGATTTATTTTTTAACTGGCATATTTTACACAACTATGTCTATGGGTCAGGAGCTTTATGCAGGTGTCAGTTTTAGATAGACGAAGAGAACTGGATATGATGCTGTCCTTCATGTAAAGGTTACTATTATAAACAACACACTTGTGAAACTGTTAAAAGGTTAGTTATAAATAAAAATAAAAAGCATGTGATTTTTTTTACTTTGTACTCAACATTTTTGGGACGGATCTTTCTCACAAGAAACTGAACGGGTAGCATGGATACAAACACTTTCTCATGTGAGATTTATCAGTGTGAAATGAGGGATTAATTACAACTTTAGTCAAGCTGAGAGATGTTGGTGAATTAGACTTGAAAAACATGTAAGAGCTCGCCGCACAGAAGAACGTAAGAGGTTCAGTAAATGAAAAGGTGTGAGGCCAGTTGTCTTTGCTTATGACACAAACTCTGACCAATGAATACAATTTGTAGAGCAGAAACCAAACAAGAATTTACTAGACTTATGCTTTGTTCTCGACCTAAGATGCAGACAGAACTATGAAAGACAGAGGTTCAACTGCAAACACTGCAAGCGAAACTGAATTCCACAAGATCTTTTGATGAGTCACACTATCTGATGAAAATAACTTTTGCACATAAATACTGGCTGAGTTTGATTCTGACATCTTGTCTCAAAAACTGCACAGCAACTGCTCAAAAATGGGAGTGGTCACAGCCGAACAACTTCAGTTAAATCTTGATGTCTGCTGCTCAGATGCAGATGTACAAATCTGGTACAACAAGTGCACTGAACACAATTTGTGCAACAGATTTGTGCCCAATGCAGCAGCTAGTTTCTATTAGCTGCACATTAAAACAAAGACACACCACAAACAGCAGGCAAGCGCAACATATCACATGTTTACACTTCTAATACTGACTGTTTATCTTGATTCCAGGATAAATTAACACCGAAAGCAACAAAAAAAAGCTACATTCTTTACTGGCCAAGGTCGGAGATGTTTTTGTTACTGTTAAGAAATCTCAAGGAAAGACAGAAAGACATTTTAGTTATTCCTTCCTTTCCTACTCTGTGGCCTTCACCTTCTGATAGACGATGCAAATCTTTAGAAACAAAACACAAACATACTTTCAACTTCATTACATACCACTGTTACATCAAACATTACTAAAACAGAAGCAAATAGCGAATTTCTTGGTGACTATTAGCCATTAGTGACTATGGAAGCTGGCCAGTGTGTGTAGGACAATGTTATTACAGTTAACTTCAACTAAATTTAAACCTACGAGTAGGTGGGAAAAAAATCTGTTCACATGAAAAAAAGTGCCCTTACAAAACTATATATATAACAAATAAATAAAGTTAGTATTATTGTTAGTATTATTATTTTTGATAGATAGACAGATAGACAGATAGATAGATAGATAGATAGATAGATAGATAGACAGATAGATAGATAGATAGATAGATAGATAGACAGATAGATAGATAGATAGATAGATAGATAGATAGATAGATAGATAGATAGATAGATAGATAGATAGATAGATAGAGCACAGATGTCTATTGTTTCAATCTTGGTCAATTTGGTTAAATTAGTCACTATAACAAGCATGAGGAGGCATTGGTGTTTATTGAGACTGGGATGTCTACATGACTATGAGTCAGGAGCCTTCACAAAGTGTTGCGTACACACTTCCACCTCCAATATTACACACACTAAAAAAAATTCAGGTTTGTTGACAAGAAGAAAAATATAGGCTTACTTATTACTTACAGATACTCGAAATGTGATTTTAAAAAGACAACTTCATTAAAACTGCAAAATAAAACGCTGCTAAAAAGCTGCTTCTAAGCATCTTAAAACTAGCATTTGCAAGTGCAGAAAATGTAATTTATCAGAAATATACCTGAATTCATAGCACTGAAAGTAAGCAGCACCAAAAATCAAGTAAGGGCATGATCTTTCCAGTGAGGTAAATACAATAGCATCAAAGTTAGGCAAGAAGTCCAAACACCAATTATCTCTGACTATACTGAATCATCAACCTGTGGGCTGCATGGCTCACCACAAAGGATCTCACAAAAGCAAAACCTTCTGCAGCATGCCAGCGACGCGCAAATGTGACCGTCACACTTTCAGAGTTTACATAATCTTTGCAGATTGCGGTGATTTTTGGAACATTAGATTACTTTGCTCACTGTGTCTCAATGTCTATGTTAAGACCAAACCACTGCATTAATGAAAGTCATGTGGTGGGTGGGCCAGCAGTCCTCTAAAGTTTTGCTTAGAAAAATGACACAGACAAATACTGCGACACACTGGAAACCAAGAGTCTAACTTGTTTGGGACGAGGCAAAAATCAGACACTGCATGTAGGTTAACAAGGCAGCAGCTCAAAAACATGTTGCTTGTTGGTTGTGTGCAGGAAACCTACACATGTGCAGCAACATGTTGCAAACGCAGCAGCATATGACCACAATCTGTCAATATATTATACAATAGGCAGGATTAACCTCTTATTAATGTGGTCGTTTCAGTTGTGATACATGGGTCGGTCTGATGTTGCAATAAAACGACAGCTTACTAAAACTGTTACAACAGTCAGATCACTGCTATACATAAAAATGTGACCTGAATTGCCAGTGATTCATTTTTTTACTGTCTCAAGAGCTATTTGCACGTTTTGCGGTCGCGCATATTTCATCATAAATAGTATTCTTGTAAGGTTTTCTGCTGTTATAGCCACTAAATATATTTTTTAAAATGCGTGCCTCACATTGACCCTCATTATGGTGCCTACTTGTTTTGGTCTGCAACATCAATAAATCCAACCATGTTCTGTTTTAAAGACTCCAAACCACTGTAAATATCAAGGAAGTCAAACTTTTTGTCAAAGATCTACCAGCTAGATGTACATCTAAAAGCATCAGTGACAACAATAAGAAGTACTAGCTGTTGGTGGAGGACTACTTACGTCGTGGCTTGCGGCATATTTTGTACAGGCAGCAGCAGGGACAGACACAGCAGCAGATGAAGATCAGCATAATGACGACGGAGATCACAAAACCAATGACCATGGGAAACGGTGAGTTTCCGTGAGCGAAATTTTTGTAGTTGCTGAAAAAGAAACAAAGTGAAATTACGCAAAAGAGTATTTATGATGCTATTATCTTATTGATAATGTGCAGAACATCCCAGTGGTATGTAACAATAATTCCTACTGATGTAGTTCATTAATGTGATCTGTACTTTACTAAACAGCAGGAAGCAGAATAATTGATTAACCATTTTATCTGATCACTTAGCAGCAATGAAACAATGATTTGCACTGGCCAGCAGTAGTCACAGCATTTGCTAAATATATTAAGATGTTGAATTAAATGCAAACACACTCCACTGCGGCAGTAAGTGTGCCATCTTCCAACAAACAGATACAAATCATACATAAAGACACACATGAAGACTCATAATTCTTTCAATCCTGCACTCAGCATGTAACGTATCACAGTGTATAAATGTGAGGAATATTTAAAGTAGTGATTGTTGTAGCTGGTGCACACTTTTGTTTCACGTTGGTGGTCGTGTACAGGAAGACATTACTTCCTGTTTCTGGGCCACGAGCACGCATCTTCTGTAATACCACGGGGACAAAGACACAAAGAAACCGACTTATATCTGTCTCACCATCTAAAACAGAAATTTTTAATCTCACACAAAGTACTAAAAGACAATTTGTTATGAATTACAGATGAAAACAGCATACCATTCTTCTTGGTCTTCTTTAGAAAGTGGCCACAAACTGTCACAGTGATCCCCTGTAACAGAGCAGAGAGGGAGAGGAAACGTTAGCCTTGTTACCACTAATGACAAAATTGTAATCGTGAGTTAAATGTCGGTGATGGGTGAAATGAGAGAAACGCATGAGAGGAGAATAGTGACACACACCCAGACCTCAGCACACTGCTCACAACAGTGTGGTGGCTTATTTCTGTGGCAATCCAGAGATAAAAACTAATTAGCTGATTAATTCATTGGTCCATCAGCAGCTATTCATCTTGCCTCTCCAAATGGGTGGATTTCCTGATTATTGGTTCATTTCTATATTAATAATCCAGATATATTTGTTGTCATCAAACTAACAATTGGTTGCCACGATGCTACGAGAAAGTAACACAGTCATGGAGCAGTTTGAAGGCCATGGTTAGAAGTAATCCTACATGTACAGAGAGGTTATACAGTCCACCCTTATTTACACACCAGTGTCTGAGGTGGACTTAGCTAATAAAGAAGTCTACTGACGGTTACAAATCTTACCTTCATCAACATTGTAATATTCAGCTTAATAAATAGTTTGTAGAGTTGTTGAGTCAACTTTATGGAAACTTTAGGGGCCGGTGTTGTTAATTATGTAACATAGGTGCTTCTAGTTTTAACTCATTAACATGAGTGAAGAAACAACAGAAATACCTCAATACCGTCCCAAACAATCAAGTTTCTTTAAAACCTGAACATGACAACCTTCATTCAGGACCGACCTGCTCCTTATAAACCAGCCACTGAGTCTGTAACAATGTGAGTAACTCAGCTGTAACAGTTCATATTCACACATTATGAAACACCTCACAAAACGATATTTGTACTGGAAGTGGGCACGTGACGGAGAAAACAGAAGTAAAGTGAGCTTTTAGAAACTACTGAAGCCTAAGTGATGACTAACTGCTTACACGTTAGTTCAATGTGTGTTTAACAGTGTTGACCCCCAGATCATACAAAGAGTGTCTGGATCCATTAGCTAGCTACGAGAAAAGAACGTTACAAAACGAAGACAGTGTTTTATTTAGAAAACAGATAGCTTCACCAAGCAGCGAGCTCTGGTTTCACCGCTAACGTCAGTGACATCGCCCTGAACGTGGTTTGTTTGAGCTCCTGTTTGAAGCTAATCTTACCCACAGCAGCTAACGTCTCAGTACGCAGTTGGTGGAACAAGGGGAGAAGAAAAGAAGGAGCAAAGGCAAACTAACTCACCGTAAACACCGGGGGACAGGATCACACACAGGGCCAGCACAACAACACCGGGCAGGCCTGGCGCCATGGTCACTTCAAGATTCCCGTATTCAGTCAGGAAACGAGGAATCCCCTCCGACGGCCGGCAGGAGGAGGTCTGATCTGATGGCTGCTGCCTGCGGCGGAGCTCTCCATACAGAGCCGCCTGCAGTCACCAAGCCCCGCCCCTCTCCCTGGTACACAGAGCTGCTGCTGCCATCATCAGCACACGCTCAATGGGATTCTGAACAAACGTGTTGGACCACTGGCCAGTGTAAGGTTTAGGTCACAGCTGCCCTAAACTAACAGCATTGGTAATTACCAAATTATTTTTTACTCTCTGTCATTTCTGTCATGATTAACACACAAGTATGTAGAAGCTCTTTCTCTGGAATGATATTTTGAATGCTAAAATATAAGTTTTATTGTTTCCGTGATTTTTCAAATTTACTGTTTTACAAAAAAACTGGAAAAATAGTAAAGCACATAATTATATTGATATAAATATATTTCTTGATGTATATACAGTCATGGAAAAATGATTAGAGCACCCTGGTTTTCTTCAATTTCTTGTTCACTTTCACTTTCATCAGGTTCTATCTAATTTTATCTGGAGGAACAGATGTTACTATATAAAGATAAAAGTCATATGTAACCCTTAAAGTAAAGGAGGCATGGAGGTTTTAAGTTTTGAAATGAACAATACATTCAAAGTGTAGTGGTTAACAAAACTAATTGAAGACAGAGAAAATATCTGGAATAGTTTTTCTAAGTTTATATTCAATGCTGTTGTCGGAATCCATTTTTAATTGAAATGCAATCACAAGATAGAAATATTAGCGGTCAAACTATCAAACTTTCATAAACAAGCTTTACTTGCCTAGAAACTGATTGACAAGTACAATTTCTCTCAAAACAATATATATATTTATATATATTTGGAATAATGAAAATATTTTATATGAAAACAAATCATAATTTTATAGGATGTGGTTTGATCATGAGACTATTTGGGTTAAGCAACTTATTAATGATGGTGGACAATTAATCTCGTGCCAAGAATTTATGAACACATTTCAGTTTCCAGTCCCACCCATAGAGTATGCAATAGTGTTTGACGCTGTACCAAGGGCTGTACTGCAGCTGCTTAGAAGCTCAGGAACCTATGATTTCTTTTATCCCACTGCAGGAACCTTTAAGAGTCAGATTTTTATTGAAGAAATTGATATAACAAAGAAGAAGTGCTCAAACAAATAGATGAGATTGTCAGAACAAACCGTGTGCTTTTAATCTCAAAATTTCTCCTAACTAATGAATATGTGTAAACTACACTCGCTGGTAAACCCTGGATATTATGGTTGTAATACTGTGTTTGTGCATTTTTGTTGTAAATGATTTTTCTTTCTCTTTTTCTTTGATTGTGATCTGTAGTTTGTGTCAATTTAAAAAAAAAAATAAAATTTTTTAAAAGAGTTATGTGAAGCCTCATAGGCAGCCATCTTGGCACTGCTGGAAATTGACATGAGCTAGAGACAGATCTCCAGGACAGCAGTTCATTACATTAAGAAAAAAACAAGCCAAACATGGTACCACCAAATTGCTAGCAGATCGCAGCAGGAAATGTCTTTCAAAAGACGTAAAGTTTCAAAAGATTATATATATATA